GTCTCGGAAGAAAGTGAAGAAGACTCAGTGCCAAGGCCTAAGGTGGGCTGTGCCTGGCATGCTCAGGGGACAACAAGAGGCAGCCATGGCTGGGAGAAGACCAGCAAGGGGGAGGCAGGGATCTGGTTAGAGAGGGCTGTCTAGGTAATGAGATCGGTTGTGAAGTGGGGGAGGGGGGAATGTAGTCTGGGCTTGGGTTTTCTCTGAGTGAAATAAGAGCTCGACCTCCTCATAACTCAGTACCACACATAGTCACACACACAGTGACACACAGTCTCACACACATAGTGATGCGCGCGCACACACACACACACACACACACACACACACACACACACGCAGGCACTATCACAGCTGCAAAGAGTCATTGTCCATTGCCATAAGGCCAGATAGGCAGTCACAGCCACATACTGTCACCTGCCATCATCCCAGTGTCTGCACAGAGACACGGTCACATTTGGTCACCTGTCATGCATGCCTGGCTGGTTATATATGCCACCCCATAGCCATGCAAAATTTCACAGACTCACAGATACAGTTGCTCAGTCACACCAACAAGCGATCATAGTTGCCTCTTTCCCTTTCACACAGAGGCAGACACCAGTTCCAACTGGTCCGGCTGGTTCTGTTCAGTACTGGACCACACAATTGCGGCATGGTCTGCCTAAGACACAGCCGGAGCTACTCAGTCAAACGTTCAGGTTCAAAGAATCATCACACATTATACTATTATCCAGTCAGTCTTGCCACTTAAAGCTATTGCCTGTCAGCCGTGGGTCCTCAGTCACGTGGAGTCATACATAGCATCGTAGGACACACAGGATTACATACAACACACAAGGTCATAATCACACACAACCCAACTCGTGTTCCTAGCATGCCGTGGTTTTACTGTCACACCCAGACTCTCATTCCATGGCAACTATCAGTCACAGGCTGAACTCACCTCCACACCCAGCTACACCAACGCAGGCGGCCCCCCCCCACATCCCCACCCCAGCCACTCGGGAGTGGCTGCCTCACCTCCTGACAGGTGTCTAGTAACATGATGTCATACTTGTCCAAGTCCTCTTGGCTGAAGAACACCATTTCTGTGAGGACCAGGCAGCCTGAAGGGCTGGAGCACTCAAATAGTCGGGCCTGGATGCTGGAGAGCTCCTCAGGAAGCCTGGCCAGAGGAGGGGCTGTCAGGGGTGCAGTCTGGGCCATACTGGCCCTTGGCATGGTTGCCCCCACCCCTACCTCAGGGAAAGCAGCTTCTTTGGGACAGGAGCCCCGGGCCTTCCTCTGGACTTCATCCACCCTTTGACTTTCTCTAGGAGAGTCTGCTCCGGGCCAGGTCCCTTTCTTTCAAGGGACAAACAGAGCAGGTGACTAGAAACCTGTCAGCTGCTCCACAGATTTCTCCAGGTAGGCACAGAGAAGGGGACCCCAGACCTAATGGGAGAAGCTGAGCTGAGGCCCTGTCCTCCCTAGAATGGGAGTCACCTGCACTCAGTTAAGTCAGGAACCACCCTCAGGTCCAGGGTGGAAGGAGGGGAACAAGTCTGGCAGAGTTGTGGAATATCTAACTGTGTAAAGATGTCTTACACATGCTTCTGCTGCCTTTGTTAGCGATGGAAAGATGTGTTGCATTTGTTCCTACTGCATTTGTTTAATTATGAAAGATGTGTTGCATTTGTTTCACCTGCCTAAGGCACCCGATTGGTCTGATAAAACCCTAAACGTCAGGAGAGGGATAGGCGGGGATGGCCGGCAGAGAGAATAAGTAGGAGGAGAAATCTAGGCTCAAGAGAGAAGAGAACGAGGGAGAAAGAGGGGACATGCCCAGAGCCAGAAGCCAGGCAGCAGACAGACAGACAGACATGAGAAGCAGGAAAGTAGGACATACAGAAAGAAAAGAGAAAGGGAGGGAGGAAGGGAGGGAGGGAATATGTGTGTGGGTATGTAAGAGAGTGGGGGAGATGAGGGGGGACAAGGGAGAGAGAGGGAGAGAGAGAGAGAGAGAGAGAGAGAGAGAGAGAGAGAGAGAGAGGAAGAAAGAAAGGGAAAAAGCCCAGAGTCAAAATGTAGATAAACAGATTAAAATAAGAGCTAAGATAAGGCGGAGCATCTATAACAAATAGTAAGTCCCTGTGTCATGATTTGGGAGCTGGTTGGTGGCCCAAAAGAAAGTCAGCTACACGGGAGCCCAGAAGACTTGGTTGGCGGGACACAGCTCCCTCTGCCCTGGAGTTCTTACTCTGCCCTCATCTCCTGTCCACCCGTTGTCCACTAATCCTGTGCTTTGGGGCTTGCCCTTAGAGTCAATGCAGGAAGCGCATTCTGCCAGCAGAGGGCGCCATCTCTCCCTTTTGCCCTGGCATTTTCCCCATCCAAGTTACCAAGGGCTGGAGACTTGCAGGGTGCTCTGCTTCGTGACCCTGCAGATGGAACACTGAGAGTCCCTTAGTTCTAGGCTTATCTTTCCAGCTGTCTGTGTGGCCACCCACCTCCTGGCCTCAGTTCCTCCTCAAGATAAACGCATTCTCCAGTAATCCTGTTACCTCTTGTTGCTGGGATAGGGGGCCCGGCCTCCGAGGGCTTCCCAGAAGTGGGGAGGCTCCTGGCCCTCCAGCACGGTTTCCATGTTATGTCCCGTGAAGACAGTGACCACCTTCCGCGCCATCTCACGCTGGTCACCATTACAGCCCTGGCAAGCAGAGGCTGTGTCAAACCCTGAGGCAGGCAGGCAGGCAGGCCCTCTACCTCCAGTCCCAGTCCATCCACGGGGACCTGTGGGGAGCTGGACCCAAGCCAAGGGAGGCCTGAGCTGTGGGTGAGGCCCGTGTGAGCAAGGTGTCTCCCTGTCAGCTCCCCAGCTGTGACCCCGTGACACTCTCTGGGTCCAGCGTGTGAATGAGGGACACCAGGCTTGGGGGTCATTTGTGGTTTATGCTAAAGATGAGGAAAAAACAACAAAACCCACAAGCAAAGGAGACCAGGCCTCTCCCTTTCTCAGGGAGACTTGGGAAAGTCCCCAACTAGGGAGGGAGGCAGCCAGAGCCAGGCTTGCCTCTGACCTGAGGAACCGCAGTCCACTTGTGACTTCTGTCAGGGTCCCTGGGTCACTTCACAACATCTACAGAACCATCTTGCTGGCCTATGCCTGGTTGGGTCCCAAGTCTGCATTCGGGTGGAGGGGACCCCAATCTGACCTAGTGCCACCTTCCCAAGTGGTGGCCCACAGGTACCTTCCCAAACCAGAGGTAGCCGCTGTCTTTTGTGATCAGAAAGAAGATGTCACTGGAGGCGAGGGAGGAAGCACGGGCCGGCACCTCCATGGTTTGGGTGTTGTGGCTATCGGCCCCTTGCATGTGGAACAGCCTTGTGGTGGAAATTGGCAGCCTCTTCCCTCCATTGCCTGCACTCCCCTAGAAGAAGGCGGGGCCTCCAGTCACCATGGCATGTCACCTCATCCAAGCTCAGGGTAAAACAGAGCCAGGGAAATGAGATCTATGAAACGCACCCAAAATGAATCCTCCCTCCCTGGAGTGGCCTATGTTAGATGATGATGTGATTAGTATTATTAGTTTTGAGTGTGTACATTGCATGTATGCTCACGGAGGCCCTGTGATGTCAGATGGCATTCTCAGGGATGCTGTCCACCTCCTCTGAGGTAAGGTCTCTCATTGGCCTGGAGCTCACCAATTAGGCTAGCTATCGAGCTCCAGGAATCCCCCTGTCTCAGCTTCCCCAGGCCTAGGGTCACGAGCACGCAGCGTCGCTCACCCCCAGCATCTTCATGTAGGTGTGGAAGTCATGAGCTTGTAAGATAAGCACCTGACCAATGGGGCCGCCTCTCTAGCCCCTGTGTCAAAGGGATGAAAAGTCCAGTGTGGGCTCTACCTGGAAGACCACCAGCTGCCCCTGGAAGATGGCTAGGAAGTGGGGGGGCTCTCTGCCCATGGTCACATGAGCCTGCACCAGTGCTCCCTGGTATGCAATGTCCAACTCCTCAGCATTGTGGTTCAGGGCCTTGGTGTCTTCTATGGTGGTCTTGTGGCCCTGCAGCAGGGAGGGGGACAATAATGGCCTGGGGTTTCCTCTCACATTCTTAGATTCTAGGTCTTAGGCTGGAAGGCATCTGATACCCCGGCAGGTGGACATACCTGCCAGAGGTACAGGATGTACCGGACACGGCCCAGTGTCTGGTATGTGTAGAGGACAAGGTAACAGTTTCCTGAGCACAACTGTCCATGGTGCTTGGGGTCCACAGACTGCCTTTGGAAGTCCTGGATGCACCATACCTGAGGGGCAAGGAGCCTGTGGGCACAGACGAACCTTACCTGCAGCAGCCTGCCCACCTGCATTCACCGGAAAGCTCTTGTTGGCTCGTCTGTGCCAGCGAGCAGCTTGCCCAGCTCTGTGCCTTCCATGCTTCAAACTGGACGTGTGAGCGACCCTTCCCCCACAGACCTTGGGGACCCCCCATGCCTTTGCTGGCCTGATCTCAGCCCAGATTTAGTTTGTATCCTGCACCTGGGAAATAAGTGAAAGACTAAAGGCTCCAGCTCCTAGTCCGTGGCCACCTCCGTCTAGAACCAACCAGCTACAGCTCTGGTGAGGGGCCAACAGCACCCCTCTTGCAGACACAGAGAAGCTGTGCTCAGTGCAGAAGAGTGGAAGCCGGGCTGGAAGAGAGGCCTTGGCACTCTGGAGGGGACGTTTTCTTTTTTCTTTAAAATGTCATTAGCAACAACAACAAAACCCACAAATAAAACAAAAACAAACCCCTAAATGAACACACAACGAATGCCCTGGTGTGATTCAGTTGGTCGAGTGCTTGTCTATTGTGCAGAAAGTTCTGGAAGCCCTCAAAACTGGGATTCCACCTGCAAATCCTGGCACCTGGGAGGTGAGGCTGGAGAGTGAGAAGTTCAAGGTCAGCCTTGACTAGATAGTGAGTTTGAGGCCAGCTTGGGACATGTGAGACCCCGTCTAATAAACGGAAACCAATGCCCAATCAAAGGCTGGAGTGGCAGCCCTTGTTCACTTTTGTCGGAGTGATGGCTTATTGCTCTGGGAGACACACCTCAGCTTTAGAACTGGACAGAACTGGTGGAAGGAAGTTGCGGTCTGGGCAGGTTGGCACCTGACTATCCCAAACTCCAGTCCTTCCCACTAGGAGACCTCCCCTCTAGACCAGGACATCAGAAACCCAGGCTTTTCTGAAAAGGCTGCCAGGGCCCCAAACCTCCCCAAAGGTACACTCGCTTGGGAGCTAGGCTCCCCTACTTCCACAGCCCCTCGTCTTTCTTGGCTTGCTGGCCATCCTTTCCCTCAGGCCTCATCTCCCTCTTGCTCTGCCCACCCAGACGCCTTCCTTTCACCTCTACTTACCCCACCCCTCCTTCCTCCTCTCCCTGGGTTTCCCCTGTCTCTCCTGTCTCTTCTGACTCCCTGCTTTCCCAGGGTCCCCACCCACTCCCTGTGTCTTCCTTTCTCTCCCTTCCCCCTTCTCCTCTCTCCCTCTCTTCTCACCCATCATGTCTGGTTATCCATATAAGGGCAAATGTAGGCAGAACGTCTATTTTCTCTGACCTCGGCTTCCCTACAGAATTTAGACCCCCCCCCCCACAGGCTCAGTAGCCTTGTTCCCATAAGCTCACAGCAACCCCCCCAACATTAGCTTGGGGTCATATTGGACCATATCTTTGCCTCCATTTTATGGTCATAAAAACAGGCTTGCGGGAACTAAGAGTTCTGCCTCAATAGTCCAATAGGTTAGTATGAGAACACTGGTCTGAGGCCAGATGAGGGGTTCATGACAGTCTTAGGGGTTACGTGTGTTTGGGGCAGTGATTTGTGTGACTGCCCACCTGTTTTGGCCACAGTGCATGGTTCATTGTCCAGGTGTTGTCAAGTTGTGTGTCTGTGAGTGAGTGACCATGGTGTTGTGTGATTTAGGATGACTGCATGGGCCAGCTGTTGGAGAGTGGGCATGTATGCTTCTAATTCCCTGAATACATCTCTGGTTGTGATGGGTGGACACCCACCTGTTCCTGGGTCGTTTTAGCTGTTGAGGCAGTGTCTCATGTAGTTCAGAGTGACCTTGAACTCCCGCTATTCATGCAGAGTGCTGGGTTTACGGGTGTGACCACTACCTTCACTTCACCCCGGGTCACTTGTGTGCACACCGCCACCCCCAGCCAGTGCCCTCACCTCCACCTTCCCAGAGCCGTCATCCACCATTCTGAGCTGGGCTGCTAGCTCAGGCTGGGTGTGCAGCTTGCCTATGTCCAGTTTGGCCTGCATCAGTTTATCTGCGTGTGGAGCTTAGAGTCAGTGACATCAGGGTCCACTCACTCCTCAGCCATCTCATAGGGTCTGGGCACACCCTCTTCCTGCTCATCCCCACCTATCCGTTCCGCCCCCTCCTGGCTTAAGCATCCCCAGCAGCCTCTGGCTCCTTCCAGGTCCACCGGTCCCCCCAGGCTCCACCCCTCCACCCCTTCCCTTACTCACTTTTCCCTCTGGGTTTTTTCCCATCTAGCTCCTTCGACCACGTCTGGAACAACTGCTGGAAGGCGGTGGACTCTGCACCGTCATTCACCACCTCCACGTTGGTGTGGTTTGGGTAGCCCTTGGCCTGGATGAAGCCCTGGGACACAGCTCTGTCAGGCAGGCCTGTGGCTCAAGGGCTCTAGGCTGTGTTCAACCTCCAGAAATACCCCCCAGCTGTAGCTGCCAGGACAGCCAAGCTCTGAGCTGCATTCATTAAACTAAACTGGAGACCCATTTAACAAGCTGGCTCCCTCACTACCGATTCTCTGCCATCTCTGAGGGTAGGCAGGGTCCCCTTAGTGCAAGTCTAGTGAAGGGCTGGCCATGGCATGCCCTACAGTCCCATAAACCTCCTGTGTTTCCCACCCCCAGAGCAGAAGGCCCTCAGGCCTCTAGGCCAGGCTAAGTCCTTCACACGTGATATTTTAGGTGTCAGGAATCTGCCCTCCCAGCAAGATTTCCAGGGTAGACACACTCACTTCCTGACCCTGGGATAAAGACGTTCCGGGAGACAGCCACTGCTCCCCTTAGACCCCAGGCAGGACATCCTGCACCAGACCTGTCTTGCCTCCCTGTAGGGGCCCCAGGACCTCACCACAGCCCTGCTGAACCCAGCCTTCTTGTCCTGGGGGCTGGACTTTCGTCCCTGCCACATGTAAATCTTGAAGCCACCCTGGTCCAGGAGATAGCAGCCCTAGGAAAAAGTGACTCTGGTCAGCAGGGACCGAGGTTATAAGGGGGGAGGGGGGGACACTAGGTGCAGGCTTTCCTTACTTCATCTTGCAGGAGGTCCTGGGTCAGTGGGCGGGTCGCCAATTCTTGGACTATCAGGTCCATTCCCTTCTCGCTGACACTGGGGGACAAGCATCCAGATGTGGACAGCCAGCCTTTTCCTTGCCTGATGCCATCCCAGTGCCCTTGAACTCCTCTGGTTTCCCAGAGACTGAAGTCATGAGCTGTGAACTCAATTATCGGGCCCCTGCTTGGGCCTTAAGTGGCTCATTGATCCTCACAGGGCCTCGGTCTCCCCATCTGTACTATGGGCTTCTTCCCATCAACGCTACCATACACCATGTAAGAGTGTGTATCATGCAGGCCCAACACCCCACAAGACCTGCTTGGAGACCTCTGTGCTTTGACTAGAGGTTTTTGCAGCAATGTTGTGTTGTTTCAGTAACAGGCACACAGTCATGGCCCCTCAGTCTCCCCGTGCCCTCCCCAGTTCTGCTCACTGGTAGAGACGGACGTTGGCCTTTTGCCGCTGGCTGACACTGTTGTTGGGCACAGAAGCTCTCAGGCTGCCTGACCTGCAGCCCAGCACAGCCTCCATGATGCGGATGAGGTCAGTGGCTTCATTCTCGTCATCCACCACACCAACCTGGGCACGGCCACCAGGTCCCCTATCCCTGAGGCTTCGAGTCAGGGCCAGCGCCTGCAGGAGAGAACCCAACAGTCAGGGCTTCCACGCCCAGCCCAGCCCAGCCCAGGTCTTTCTTATCCCGGCTCGGTGTCCATAGGCATGGGGCGGGGACAGGAAAGCTGGTGTCCCGCCACTCCAGTGTCCCCAGGTCTACCACCAGTACCACATTTGCGTGTGCCTAATGGATGCCTGTTGGATTGAGACAGAGGGACGGCCTCTCCCCAAGCCCTGTGCCCCCAGCTCTCGGGGCAGGCACTGACCCGCGATTTCTCAGAAACGCTGGTTTGGGGGCCGTTCCACTGGATGATAGCCATGCCCAGGTCCAACAGGAAGACGTCCCCTTT